TCGTTCAATCGAAGCGAAACGAGCAGATGAAATGTTTGGTTTGCAAGATCATTATCGGATTCGTAATATTGCGCAGATTAGGTGCGCTTCGTTTTAACGAGATTTTTTTTAATCTTCTCCAATCTTACTTTCAACATTCTGAATTGACGTCGAGATTAAATTCACGAAATTACAGACGATGGGAGAAAAAAGTTCGATGAATTTGCACGCAATACGCAATAGTGGGACAATAAATGTTTCGTGTTTATTAATATATGTATATACATATATATATATGAATATGGACTGAATTTGGTTAACGAAGACCAAAGTTTATGTTGAATAACAGGCGCCTCCAAGTTTGCGTTCATTAGTGTCGGTCGTAAACGATAAAAGCGACGTTGGCGGAAGTAATTGGTCAAAATTTGATCCGCGCCGCGAGCGAACAAGCATGTTTCTGCCGCTCGAACTGCAGCTGTTGCTACACGGAGACGGAATAAAGGAAGGATAGTTAATTTGATAAGGTAATTAGAAGTAATGTCTGGTAGAACTGCGCGCCAAGTTTGTTAAGGCATTGGTGCTTCAGTCGCAACAGATGTAATAATTATATGAATAAGGTATGGGAGTTGATTTGCGATCGATAAAGATGATTACTTTGAACGAGCTTTTATGCTTATCTTGTACTTTTACATGACAATCTCAAAAAGAGCTGCAAATTTCAAGTCTGTATAAACATAATTATTTAAAATATGTCGTTCTCTTCTGAAAAAATGAGGAACTTTCTTCTTCTTCAATTATTCTGATAATACAAGGATTACAAGAGTAATTAATTAGGAAAGAAGCGCAATTAGCAAATTAAAATTCACAGTATTGGACAAAATACCTGAAACAGAGCGATTTAAAAGGCTTTCTTTTAGCGCTGCTAATTATATACGCGATGAATTAAATCCGTTTTGGAATGTATAATATCATCATTGTAGAAAGATTGAGAATATTTGAAGTACTACATTTTTACATTCATACAAAATTGATAACATTAATATTATAAAAGGTCTACGTTTTTGTATTATTAAATTTTTTATACAAATTATGAAAAATGTAGATATAGATAACGTGATTCTTGCAAATATAATATATTATTATTATTATTATAATTGATAATGCAGTTTGGAACAAATTTATCATGCGTGGCTGCGTTATTTCATACATTATGCAAATGATAACGCTCTATTGAAGAGCGAGAGGCCGAAAAATGATTGAAACTTCGTGAGAGATGAATATACCAATTGCAAATGTTTGTGCATATTTACTCTTCGAGGTTAAATACGAAAACGCCTATGGCGTTTGGTAAACGCAACGTAATGAATCGCGACAGCGCAAAAATGGTTTTAAAAATTTGGACAAATATAATCGATTGGCCACTGATGACCCCGATCAGGATCAATTCATACCTGTCATCGAATTGGTTTCATCGAAATTTACATTGGAAAATGAATGAATATATCACGATGAACGTATAGTTTTATTAAAGCTTGCTTCCTTCCCTTTTTTTCTCTCATCGTTAAATAAAACCGGAGTTAGATGTGCAAAATAATTCCCAGGAATATTTAATGCTGAAAAAATATAGTTATATTTGCTTAAGAGGGAAAGTGTTTCTACTTTTGATATAATTTTCACTGGCGCGATTTCGCACGCAAAAATAATTTGGATAATTGATAATAGTTATATAAATACGTATTTAATTTCAAATGAATATGCTTTATGCACGAGAGCGCGAATTTTCTTTTACGTTTTGTTTAAAAATGTTTAACAATAGCGATAAAGTATGAGAGAGAAACTAAGCAGCGTAGAGGCAGGTAAAGTTGTGAAAGACAACAAACGTTTTATGCTGAAACTGCTCGCAGAGTGAGCAGAGTTTATAGAAGCATTCGAAAATATGGTGCACTCTCGGAAGCAAACACGTTCATTTCGAAAATATCCTAGTATCAGAAAGAAATGAAGACAAATTTCTTGGGTATTGTTCTTTTTCGCGAAAACCTTACTTCTCTCGCGCAATCAAGACACGATCACGAAAAGTACGCGTGTACATGACGTGCGTATAATTTAAAAAAAAAAATACCCAGGATTTTGTATATAAAAATAAAAGGAGCTCGCGAGGCGAATTGTTGCGTATAAAAATCTCCGTTTCTATAAAAGCGACCTTTACAATAGAAAAATAAATCGCGTCATCGACGCGTACTCCAACGTTGTAGTATTTCACCAATAAGAAAGAATGCGGATTTAGAACGCATTTGCGGGAAAGTTGCGTCACGGAGGTAAAGTACGAAAAGATGGCGAGAAGGAGAGGCGAGTGTATCTCGGATATGTCTGCATTCCGGTACACGATTTGTTTTATCTCTCTCTCTCTTCTTATCTCTCTTCGAAGAGTTCTCACGTATCTGTTCGCTTTCTCGTGGCACGACGCAATCGTGTGGAAAAGCGGTGGTCCAGCAGAGGGCAAATATTCAGTTGAGAGAATCTGTCTCATCGGAAACAACCTAGTTTTACAACTGCAAAAATGGCATGCTTCCCGGAAACTTTTGGGAACAAGGTGTGGACGTCGTTCGAAAAACTATCTATACGATATTATTTATAAAAATAACTCGAATCTCTATATGATATGTATAAAGATAAATATTATGTATTAAAACGTGCTCGCGGAAAAAATAATAATAACATGTAAATATTTTAAAGCGTAAGCCGTGTTTTAAATTTCCAAATATTATTAACAGATTTATGTAATGTAAATGTAAATACGATTGCAAATTTAATCACTCAAAGAGATTTGAATCAGTGAATTAATTAGTTCGCTTGCTGCCGCCTTCAGCGGTTCGCAAATATCCAGCGGGCTCCGCCCTTCAAGTTCTCCAAAAAGTAAATTATAAGAATAATATATTATATAACATTATATATAATTTAAAAAGTATTTGAAAATTTTGTTAAGTTTTTTTATATGTTTTTATACATAATTTCTTTATTATATTTGTAAAATATAAAATATTTTCAATTTAAAAAATTTAACAATTTGCAAATAATTTTATTTTCACTTTATTAATAATATTCTAAAATTTCAAAAGAGTTCTCTCTTTTAAATTTCTTCTAGATATGCATAAAAAATTAATTTATAATATTAATACATTAAGTATTTCAAAAGATTCAAACAGTTGTCATAAATTCGATGAATAGAACAATATCCATTCGCACGATTTAATATATCATACGTAATATTTATAGGAATTATATCATTTGAATTTTTATAGAAATTCTCTATGTGTTTCTCATTTTTTCGATGAAAACGCGATAAAGAAAGTGATAATTATCTCCAATTGCGACATAACTAAAAACGGTGTCTGAATCTCTGGCATATAAATCGTTTTGCTCGGTTCAATCGGTTAGTCAATCTAGATATACACGTACACCCAACACAAGCACAACTTTTAAATTTTTGCAAACGCGAAAGTCGGAAATGGTTTTTCGATATCTCAAATAGTTTCGGAACTTCTCGCCCGTTGCGCTTTTTGCATCGTTGAATACATACATCACTCTGTTCGGACGTGCCTAAAAACTCGTTCACTCCCAACTCACTTCCACTCACTTTAACTTACTCTATTAACCCCCTGATTGTCACGAAGCAGTTGCTCTTACGTGCCAGTTGCTCTTACATGTTCTTGTACCCTTTCCGGGGCGCGAAAACATTTAACTTCAATCTGATTGAATCTTCATTTCAACATGTTTATTTACCGTCACGACAATGTCTGGTATTTTACGATAGATATTTGTTTTTAACGAGAAAAAAGAGAGTCGTTTGAAAAATAATGTTATTGTTAGTACAAACGTTGACTGTAACAAGGCTATCGCTTGTCAATGCTTCTTGTAAGTATACTGCATCCGACCTACTTTGACGAAGTAAAACCAAAACTTTAGCACGAGCTCGTCTATATAACAAGGCTGATACCGAAATTGTTATTCTATAAGAGCCATCTTAGTAAAATGGCCCGCGTCCAAATCGCTGCGAATCAGAGCAAAACATTCGTCCCGCAATCTTTTTCAGTTCGCAGCATGTATATATACTTTGATTTAATTTGCTTAAGATTAGCGCGTAAAAACAAATAGCGATAATTTAATATCATTAATAAAAAAAAAAAAAAAGATTTAAATTAATTGATAAAGCGACATCATGCCCTATTATTTTCGCTCACTCTTTACTATGCTGTGATTCCCATAAATAGAGTTCCGCAAATCGCAGTAGTAATATCGAGAATTGCGCCGACGAGCGAAAGCGTCGATTACAATCCTGGCGTGAATCCGACCGAACTCGATTGTAACAATGTCGTTTCAGCCGATCGTAGAATGGCTGCGAACGACCACCCATTCTCCGAGAGGAAACGCAGATATTCCGCGTCCTTTTTCGAATCAGCGGATCTCGGGTGCTTCACGGAAGTAACGAGGCGACTGGAAAAGGCGTAGAAGATCTCGAGTATCAATGACTCCTTTAAGTACTGCTTGGCCTAATTTACTGGAAACTTCAACGTTTTACGTTTCTTCTTCTTCCGCGTGCAATAGCGGAGATTTTTGCTTCTTCTCCGTGTCATCTCTCCATGTTATCCAATAATAGTAAAGCGAAGCTGGTAGAGAGAATCACATAGCGTTTCAGGATTTTCATCAAAGACACTTCTCTCGTGCGCGCGGAGTGTTATTTAAACTAGAGGATTCGCGCGTAAAGTACCTTTGGGGTGCGAAAACCACTATAATTCAAGAACCACATTTCTTTCGCCCTCGGCCTCGTTCCTTTGTTCACTCACCATTTTCTGATCAACGACTCGGCGAAACAACGATGAAAGAATCTTTCACTCGAACGATCATCATTCGGAGATTAAAAGTCGATGGAAAGGGTATCTTACGAGCTCGCGATAATTAATGAGAATACACTCGAAGAACTCGCCTCTCCTATCGAACTTAACACACTGCGTGATGAAACTTACCCCCCACTATCAGCAGCAGATGAAGCAGAGCACATCGCATTTTTTGATAATCCGGGCGAAAGTCTTTATCCATGCCGCCTGTGAGAAATCTTACGTGTCGCACTGTACCCACGCGCGTTCTACGCTTTTCGTCTACATAGACACGTCTCGCTCGGTGTCACGACGCTTTCGTTTTCGTTGCTTTCCATTAATTAAGGGAAAAAAAAAAACAAAAACGGACGATCTAGTCGCGCGAGCGGAAATTCGTCGCGCCGCGGAATAACATCGAAAAATCGGGAAATCGCGGTTGAATCGCGAAAGATCTCCCTCTTTCACCGTATACTTATGTGATCGATCGATCGGCCGATCGTCGCGCTCGAGATCGGCGGGATGACAGCGCGAATAGGCAAGGCCGAGCAGCCACGCGGACGCGATAGTTCCTGACTTGCAACTGACGAGGGATGCTGCACGAAGAGTTTGCGCCAGCTTCGCGCCCGCGCACAGAATCCTTATCCACCCTCCCCCCCCACTGCACCCCTCCCTCCTTTTCATCCCCCTAACCGGCCACAGTCAGTTAGTCAGTCTCTCTCTCGCTCTTGTATATCTCCTGCACTTTTCGTCCTCGGGACTCGCCATCTTCCTTCTCTTTCGGCAATATCAATCCCTCCCTTTTATTTCCCGCCCCGGCACTCACACGAGAACTTCTTTCCCTTTTTATGCAGCTCCCCGTCGTTGTAGTTGTCTTCCGACTCACTCCCTATCACGGTTTTTCCATCGCTCGCTCCGTCCTTAACGCGCGGCGTGTGTCGCGTCTTTCCTCTTCTTCTTCTTTCGCGCTTTTCCATCCATTCTCTCCGGGATTCTCTCTCTCTCTATTTCGCGATCCCTTCCTGCTTCGTTCTCTTTTTACGAGGCCGCCTCGTTTATCCATCTTCCCCCTACACGGTGTGATTTCACCCACCACATATCTAACCTCACGCGCATCCTTTCGGCGGCTGTATCTCAAACACTAAAGAGTTTCTTAGGAAATTGAATTGAATGCCACTCACACCCCAGTTTCTGTCTCTTCGACGGCCTCTTTCGGGGTGACCTCGTCCTTTCTCTTTAGCTATCTATCTCTCTCTTTCTCCCTTTGGCCTTTACTGTCTCGTTTATCCTCGCACTCGGTGTCGTTCGTCTTCGTCTCCGTTGTCACTCTCTTCCCAAGTGTTCCCGTGAAACTGATTGTCTCGCCGTTAAGCGGCAATTTATATGTTAACAGGCCCGAATCGGTCATGCATACGTTTAAGGAACGGGATTTCGCGGAACAGGCTCGCATAACGACAAAGGTGATGACGCGGATGATGGTCCTGTCCGTCGCACGAAAACAAATTCCTTGATTTCTGCTATATTTGGTTAGCCACGATAATGGTCCGGGTTTTCTTACACATCTTATATGCTCTTACGTCATTAATTTCAAAGACACATATAACCCTGAACTATATAAATTTCCATCTATTTATTTCCCCTTGCTTGAAAAGCATGCGCGAAATAATGAGTAAAAATGGAGGCTTAATTATCATAATCCACCTACAAATTCATATCTTTTACATTCGATTAATGCGTTATTTATAATTATGTAATTAGTATGTTTCTGTATTTTTTTTAGTTTTCGCTTCGCATAAAGCAAAATATAAAAGAGGGTGTTATGCGCGAAGCAATTAGTTTGTGCAGAAACTAACATGAGGCGACTGAATTTGTGTATAAAGTTAACGCGGAGAATCGCAACTACGTTGTAGCGTGACAACAGTTCAGTTTAATATCCGCCGACGTGTTCAAATAAACTTTGAATAACATCGCTCAACATTTGTTTAATACTTGAATGGCCACATAAATTTTCATAATTTAGTTGCTTATAGAAACTTGGTTACAATAGCGTAAGAAATCTAAGTATGACGTAGTGCATGCGTAAAAAGACTCGTACCTTGTACATGTTTGCAAAACAAAAATAATTTTGGCGATAGAAAAATATAAAATGTAGAATCTGTGCAAATGTGCAACGCAAATTAAATTCTATTTAATCTGCGCGGATTAATTTTTTCTCCCTCTTGCATAATTGCTTAATAAAATATTTTATATTTTTATATCTCGCAATATTTTACTCTTAAAAAGATGCAGTATAAATATTAATCGAATAAAAATAAAACGGGACAACCGCGCGAATACACGTTTAAAGGATAAAAAATTCTTTAATAAGAAACCGTCGGATGAAATAACAATAGCGAGCTTTTCTGAGTTTGTGCTGTGCTATGCAAATTATATACGTTCGCTCGTTGGAGGGAGCACATGTAAGCTCATAAAAATACATGCAGTATACGACGTAGCACGAAGTGGATCCTAGGCAATAACGAAATTTTTGAATAAGGAGTTACCTTAACAAATTTTGCACTGAAAAGAATATCTATAAAACAAGATAAAAGGGTACTCTTGATCGATTCTTTGCTCGTTATATAACGTTGTTTCGTCGCGCCGGCGACGCGACGCGATAATAATTAATACGGCATCGCGAAAGTCAACTCGTTATCTCGGACAACAACAGAGTCGGCCGCTGCAGCCTCCCTGTAATTTGACAAGCCGCGTCGTTCATCAGCGCGACATCGTAATGCGCGGATCCGCAAATTTCATCGATGCGTCATACGTAACGAAGGACCGCATTCGCCGAGTTCCAATCGGATGCTTTTCGCGACGGCGGCCGACGAGAGAGAGAGAGAGGAGTTGAGAAGCGAAGGAGGGTATCATTGACATAGTAACTTTGGCAAACAGGACACTGGGAAAATATGGTGACGCGGCAGAGGGCGAGAGTTCTATCAATTCGTTGACTGATTCATTAGACGAGACACGTGAATTCTCCGGTCCGCCACTCGAATCGTATCGCGATGTATTCGCGGGAAGCCGCAGCAAACTCGTGGCTCGTCGCTATGTGAAAGCATTGATGCGATTGATTTTACCCGGGCATACTAAATTGGCTCATGAATAATTCCTATCTATCTGTGTAAATTACTCGTGACGAATCTCTCGATGCGGATGACGTGGCGGAATTAATATCGCGAGAGCATTACGAGATTTATACATTTTCTTTTCATGTCATTCGATACGAACGGAAATGAAAGAAGCGATTTTGCGGCTAGCTTCTACAGTGTCATTTACTTGTTGCATTTACCTTGTATAAGAACAAAAAAAATATTGTTGAATAATTTTTCGAACACATTAGGAGTATGGAAATTCTCTTTTTATTTTTCAAATGTATACAATATGTGATAAAAATCAAAATATCAAAGATTATAATATCACATACTATATACGTATCACAAACTCAAACATAATTTTTTTTCTTTCACGTCCCGAAAAGTTACGTACAGCGTCACCGATTTCACGACCCGATACGCGTCGCATCTCGAGAAAGCGAGCTCTCTACATCGTTGATATCACCAGGAGAATTATGTGTACAAAGAGCGCGAAAGTTTAATTACTCCCACGCGAGAGGTTACTTCAGTAAGTAACAACGTACACGATATGTTCTCGGAGCGTGGATCGATCAACCCGTCGAGATGCAACGGAATCTGGAGGGAAGTTGGCGCCACGGAAAATCACATTTATATTCGTGTGTTACTCCCGGATTGGAGGGCACCATGAGCTCTCCCGGGGTCATCGTAGAATGCGCGCGAGATTTTGTAAGCCTTCGTGAAATTGAAAGAAATTCTCCAGAAAGTTTGGCACGCGCGCGGCATTCCAAGTAATCTAACTGTACATTGTATATAACGAACTATAGTGAGAAAGTGTATAAAACGTACTTATGAAACGTGTAAAACTGTACTCTCGCGTTCGATTTCAAGTCATACGAAATTGTATAAAGTTTGATTCACTCAACGAACTCAAACTCAAGGGCACACGTAATTAGAAAGCTAAATTATTCCCATGCGAGAAGTTACGCTCGCGTTCGTTCACATATAATATGTTCCAGCAACAAAGTTGCTAACAAATCAGCGTGAAATTCCAGAATAATGCGGAGTCGAGCTTGCGGCTCTCATGTGGACAAGTTTTGCGTTGGATTTAAACTTGCGGAACTTTAATATATTATTGAAATAAAATTATAGCAACAATACATAACAGAATAACACAAATGGGGAAAGCAAATTTAAATATTATAAGAAGAAATGAAGAGAAAAGATTTAACAAGACGATACATGCGACGTGAAAAATTATGATGAAAAAAAATATATTCACGCAGCATAAAAAATGCATTTAAGAATTTAAGAATTATTATAAATTAGTAAAAATTATAACGCTCTTATATATTGAAATAAAATTGTAAAATTAATGTCAGTACAGGCCAACTAAAGAGCATAAAATTATTCGGATGTTAATGAATATTATAAATTTTTTATTTTAAAACCATCAAAACATAATAATAAATCACAAACGTTTCGACTGTACGCAGTCTTTGGACTCCACTGAAGAAGACTGCGTACAGTCGAAACGTTTGTGATTTAATGTATTATTATGTTTTGATGGTTTTAAAATGAAAAATTTATAATATTCATTAACATCCGAATAATTTTATGCTCTTTAGTTGGCCTGTACTGACATTAATTTTACAATTTTATTAAGAATTATTATTATTTGAGAATTGATAAGATGACGAGAAACGTGGACGCGCGTAATTTTAGGATTAGCGAGAGATTAGCGTAGGAATCTCGCTTTTTATCATTTCAACATTCCCGAGATGTCTCGAAGACGGTTAGGTTGTAAGTGACACGAAGCCCCGGTTGTCCGCGTTGTTTTATAACAATTTCAATTCACTGAGACACGTCACGAACAGAATCAAGAGGCATACGCGCACATATAATTAGAAAGTTAAATTACTGCTACGGCAAATGTTATTCTCGTATGCGAGCTGTGCGACACAGGGCGAGGCCGCGTCGCTTCTGCATCCTAAATTGTGCGATTTACCTAAAACGTTCCATTATTACCGCACGTTGTAGCGACTGGAAGATACTCGGTGACGCGTAAAATAGGGGTGGACGTAATTCGTGAAAATTATTCAGCCTCAGAGAGAACGCGAGAACCGTTTTTTGTTAAGTAGACATTTACAAATATGAAATTTAATTAATACCACATATCATGCGTGCGCAAATATTTCGATGTAGAATAATTCATTTTTATCAAAATTATATTTTGTATTATTTTAAAATAATGCACAACGTGATAAGGATTATAATAAATTGTACTACTAGAAAATTATAAAATTATACTGTATACAATACTCGGTTCAATTGCATACAGTATAATTTTATAATTTTCTAGTAGTACAATTTATTATAATCCTTATTACGTTGTGCATTATTTTAAAATAATACAAAACATAATTTTGATAAAAATGAATTATTCTATATATATATATATATTGTATATGT